AGGCTTGCTCAAGTTGTCCTGTTGCTTCAGATGGAAGACAGTTTCATCGTCGACTACAGCCCAATAAGAAATTTCAGTTATCAGTGATTTCTAAGAACAGAAAGCAACAGAAGATGATGGAATGAACGGAATATTGTACATTGCAGAAATAGGAAAGGATTCTGTTTGGGCATTTGAATTGGAAATTGTCGTCAGAATTAACAAGGGAAAAACTTGGTTTTGTTTGGAAGGACTAATTTGCTGGAAAGTCACTTTGAGAATTGCACCAGTTTACTGGTCCTGATTTACAGGTAAGTTTGCTCAATATTCTGATATTCGTAAAAACTTGCAACATTTGTTACACGTGCAAGTAATTCCACAAATATTTAGCTTGGAATTAAACATACTTCACATTCCAATATATTTCTTTATTTAAAATGACCTCTGAAAGATGTTTACCTGTACATAATTTGAACAAAAAACTTGCCCTACTTTTTCCCCTCGGTAGAATACCAGTGGTTAACAAACTAAAACGTTAATATAAAATGAAAGCTTTGGCCTGCTGAATTTGAAAGTCGGAATGGAATGTTAAAGACATCACTTCATCTCTGCCAGAAGATGATCTTGACTAATCAAACAAGTTTTATTACTCCTCACTTTTTTTTTAAATGTTTATAAATGTCACCGATGCCGGCCTAATGACAAACATGAAGTCCGTATGTTTGTCTGTGCATGCGGCCGTAGCACCCCGCCAAGGTTGTAATGTGGCCGTTTGATTATTTTGTCTTGGGCTGGGGTGATATATGGGCCGCGCAGGACTCCCATTCATAATTCATAACTGTCTCAATTTGCCCTTTCTCCTTTAAACAATGTTTTTTTCTCTCTCTCTCTTGTGCTTTGTGACAGTGACTGCTCAGATTTTTTCCACACTCTTCTCTAAATATCAGTTGGATATTTAGCAGCAAGTTGTTATTGGTATGTTTCATCCATTTCATTTGAAATCAGTTGTGTTTAGTCTTCTCCGAACACCCCAAGTTCAATATTCTTGCAAAGTAAGACAGAAATTATATCTTATCAAATTTATAGTTTGTGGACTAGTGACAAGCATCATTCATCATACATCAGTTTGGCTGGTAACCTTTTTTAGCAGATGTAATTTTTTTTTCTTGCTAAACCGAATTGTTGAACTTAGCAGGTTTTTTTTTATTTGGATCATCTTTGGAGGTCATTGATTGTAATCTGCATGAAAGGTCACTCATCTCGACATGCCCCCTTCTTTTCAACAGATTTTGGTCCTATTGTGAGGACATTTACGACCGAAGTTTTGCCATGAATAATTCTGGTATTCATTGGCGAAGCCTCACGTCATGCAAAATGGTCAGTCTGAACCGAAGACCAAAATTGCATGCATTCATTCATTGGGATAGAAATTTACAAAATCATGGGGGAGGGGGGGGGGGGGCAGTGAAAGTTTAAACCTCTCTGAGTCTGATGGAGAGGGTAGGAAGGGTCCTAGCAGTGTCAGTTGTAAAGTATTATGAGAATCGTATGGTAAAAATGGACATCATTCACGTTGATACAGAAACGTCGGACTGACCACAGTACTGAAGGAAATTGCATGAATACATGCATTGCCATGGATCCAGTTTTTATGGCAGCGAAAAGGTCAACTTTGGCCTGCGTGAGAATCCAAATAGAGAAGAGATGTAAAAAAAAAAGAAGGAAAAAGTGATTTATAGTGTGTTCCAGCACCACCTCCGAAAAGGTCAGCTAGCCGGATAGAAAGTTTTGCAAAATGACATGCGTACATTCATTGCAAAGTTACTGAAGATGCTAGCATTGAGGGTCAGGTCCCTAGAGTGCCATAGCAGAATATAGTCCTCACTTGAACAAGGAGGAGGCCGGCAGAAAGAGAGAAATAGAAGAAACTAGAGTTGCTCTCAAAGGAGGAGATGGGAACATACCAGCAATGATTGGCAGGCCAGGTGCAGACGTCTTTTCTCATGAAGATTCCCCAAAGTCAACATTCCTTCACATTTTTTTTCTTGCCCACATTGATCCGTCCGCAAAATAAAAAAAAATGTTCCTGGAATGAAATAATAGTGGGATGGCAACCGATCAGCCAGCAATTATGGCCCTCCCCACAAAAATCACCCTGCTCGCTTTTAGTGAGGAGGCATGACTCTCACGCGCACATGCCGTTACGTATTTACACTAAGTGGAATTTTTAGGATCGGCATCGTAATTCGGATCAGGCTCCAGGTTCTTGTATTTTTATCCCCTGTGAAGCGGCCCGTTTGAGCGATTCAGACAAGGCAGTTGATGAGTTAATGAGCTGCAGCTTGTTTGTTGGACGCACGGTAAGTCTCGCTATTTCTTGGATTGTTTTTTTCCTTGGGAGATTGACGCAAATCTTCAAAGCATCAAGAGTTTCCCAGAATTATTCAGTTCAGCTAAGGTCTGTATAATGAGTTTTCTTAATGTCATCTAAGTGTCTGTAGTTTATCTATCTGTAGTTTGACTATCAACAAGTAGCACAGCCTAGCTGTGATTTGCTTCACATATTAAATTCTAATCTCAGGAAAAGAATTCGGGGGACTTTTACTCTGCCTGTTGAGTGAAAGACATGAGGATTAAGAACATACTGGAAACATGCTACCAGTATGTGCAAACATTGTCATAATTGACCTCATTCCTGGCATTCACTGTAATGTGGTGTTATTTTCATCCAAGCCCTTGGGGTAATTGCTGGCAAAAGACATTTTGAGTTGATTTTTTTTTTTTTTCATTTGCTTTGGGGAAAGTTTATTAAATTTTGTAATAATTCATAAAAGAAGCCCATCATTGTGGGAGAATAATTTATTGAAATAAGAATTTGAGTAGCGTATCACATTATGGGTACCGAAGTGTGGTTGATAATTAAGACGGCAGTTTGAAATTAAAATTACACATTTATGGAAATACCTTATCCTCCGTGTGTCTTACTGACGGACATGTCATGCAGTCAAAAGAGTGATTTTCACATTCATGGATAAATCCATACAAATCCTGGAATTTAAACCTATCATGGAAAAGTCATGGCATGTTGTTATTTTACAAGGAATCATGGAAATTCCAAGGGAAAAATTCAAGGGACTGCACAAAGCATATTTCACAGGAAATATTTAGTTGGGCCCGACTTTCAATTTGCATTCTAATTAATATACTGGGAAGATGGTGAAAGAATGCCTTTATAAGTGTTTGCTGACATGTAAGTTTACATGTAACCTGGAAAATTGGGAGGATTGGATGGCTGTGAGGGGGGGGGGTGGTAATTTATTTTCAGTGTGATGACTGGCCAGTGTATTGTAAATAGGCTAAGATGCCAAAATGGCATAGGAAGTGTTTTGTTCTGGAAAAGTCATGGAATTTTATGTTGAGATTTCTGTTTAAGGTTTACTTGTATTTAGTCTTTTCCGGGCGAAAATGTGTTCATTGCAATTTTTTGTGTTTAAATCTTTTTAGGGTTCACTTGCTTCATTGCTACTTGAGTAAAAAAAGAAGAAAAAAATTTGATGTCTATTTTGGAACAGGAAGAAAAAGCAAACAGTTCCCCTTGTAAGGAAAAGACAGATAACATGTTTTCCCCTAAGGATAAGTAAAAGCTGTCATTGTAAAGTGGAATGTCCAAGAAACTAGAAGTTTTCCTTGCGGACAGAATCAGCCGGCCATGAGCATGGTCCGTTGTCCTGAAGTGAACCCAACGTTACAATGTTGTTTTTTTCTTCGCTGGGAAATTGTACTCTCGCGTTCACTGTCGAGTCACTCTGATGTCATTAAGTAATCAAGTGGTTTGTAATGAGTACGTGATGGGGCAGGTTGATGATTCAATGAGGATCGTATCTTCTTCTTTTTTCTTCTTTTTTCGTGGACGTAAAAGGAGACGGGTAGGGTTTTTTGTTACGCGAAGGCTCAATTATCTTACTGTCATTCGTTCATTTTTTTTCCCTCGGTTGGACATCTTTACGCGAACGTCATTCCCTCTCCATCAAATTTCTAAAACATTGGGTAGGACGGTGTTTGGAAAGAGAATATGAATAAAAGCAAAAATCGAAACTGTTCACGTTTTTCGCAGCTGCACTTAGAAAATCTGAAGCTTCTCTATATAAATAGATGTCACTCTGATCCTAGAATGTGTCTTTTCATCAAGTTAGTGTTGTTTTGTTTTTGTTTGTGTGTGTTTTGTTTGTTTAGGGGGAGGGGGACGGTCATGAGGCATATAAAGAATCTTTCATTTACCTTTTACTTAAGGATCATGTATTTCTTTCTTTCAATCATAACAGTTGTTCCATGCCTGTGGGATATACTTTCTGGTCTTATCATTCTGTATAATCATCGTTCCATCCCAAGATAGACTGCAACAGGAAACAGGAAGTTATATTCAATAACAATTTTCTAATATTTTTTTTCAGCCTCTCTGTCCCTTTTTAAACATATGAGGAACTGTTGCACAAAAACCCATGCCTTCATAGAGTCTATGTCAACAGTGTATTCTTGTCATCGGGTTGTTGAGCATTAACGTCCACTTCGGGAACTGACTACAGATATTTGGATTAGGCGCGTTTTCGGTTTCTCTTTGTTGTGTGTATCTAAATTGGCTCTGTAATTGTTGATGTTACAGACCGATTGGCCGCACTTCCTTGTTTGGGCTATTCCAAGTTCAATTTGAAACATTTTTTCACAGGGGTGGCATCAATGTCAGGGAATGATTTAGAAAAACAATTGTGTTGAAAAACAAACATAAAAATAATTTTAAAAAAATATTTTTTAGGGAGGAGCATTTCTTGTTTCATTTTGAAACAGCTGTGGAATCTTCCCCTACATTCTATACACACATACATTTACAATATTTCTTGTTGACCTCAGAATGTCTTGGAACCATCCCCCAACCCCAGTAATTGTTTTTCCCAGTTTCTGTTCTTGTCCAAGCATTTCACACGCATGGACTGTAATTTAGTACATGTATCATGAGTCTGTTTCACACAATTGTTATACATGTACATGTACAACAGGTTGGGAATATCTGACGTTGGCTTATTATCGGAGCGATAAGTCAGTAGTCAGTGTGATTTCTTTGTTTCTTTGGAAATTTGGTGTCTTCAAGATGTCTGGATTACCCTCCATGTCTTCAAGGGTGGCCTATAATTTTCCCATATCGCTGTGTCCCGAGCTCTCCCAAAATGTTCAGGTAAATTTTTAGGTCAATGTTTGTGTTTTTGTGTTGATATTTTTCTTGTAACGGCTGTATAGGAGTTATGTGCATAAGATTCACACTGTTGATTCGTGTGTTGTACAAATGATTGCTGCAGAGAGAGAAGCAGACAGTTTAAAGACATCCCTCTTTTTTTCACAAAGGTGCCCGAAGAAAATTTATTCTAATCCCGACCGTCCAACGAGTTGGCACTCTGCGTGAATAACAGTTAATTTTCCTTATCTGTTTAAGGACTGAGGGATAATGGAGAAATCATGGCGCTTCTGAATCAAAAGATCTGGAAATTTATTTCTGATCCTTTTTTTTTTTTTTTTTCCTGTCCATGTCCAACCATATTACCGAAAGTCGAGCTAGTGACTCAGGGAAGCAGTATTAATCAGACTGAGATATCTCTGCCCTCCTGGGGAACGACCGGCGCAAACAACACCTACCCAGGGGATTGTCATTTTAAGTAATCTCTGCATTTTGCTAGAAAAAAAGAAAAGAAAAAAAATTCCCCATCGGCGTGGGTAAATAACCGCGGTGAAGCTGTCCCTTTGCATGTGCACGCTCGCCGCCTGTGTAGCAAAGCTTGTCGCTCCCTGTTGCTTCGGTTTCTTGCCCCCCTCCCCCCCCCCCCCTTCCTTCAAACATCTCTCTTCTCTCCGAAATCTGAGCCAACAAACTCGCGGAGGAAGTGAGAAAGATAAAGTGACAGGTATGACAGGGAAAAAATCTTAGAAGAAAATAGGACATCGGACAACTTAATTGTGCAGTTGAAGCATGCCTCGTTTGTTTTTAGGTATCATTATTTACTGGTTTTTTTTTTCCTTTTACATGTTGGTGCATGTGAAGCATAAAGGAATCAGGTTCTAGGAAGGGGGATTTCGGTTGTAGTTGGGTGAAGCGGAGTGGATGTAACGATTGTTAAATCGCCCGTGAGTTGTAGCGCAGTAGGAATATGAGACTGGGGAACAGTGGCCGATTCAGTCAGTCCAAAGGAACACAATGCTTTAATCCAATGCGATTGTCGAGTCAGACGTTTTTTGGGGGAGACGTTGTTAGTTTTTGCGAGGTTTGTTTTTTCGTTTTGGCTACTTTTTGTCTTCTCTGACGTACAGGTGTTTCTGGTGTACACTGTTGATTTAAGCTTGATTGATTGCGGTAATGATCGTTTTTGAGCTGTAGAGTGATCAGTTTTCAGCGGCAGTAGACACAGGCAGGTGATTGGGACGTTGATCTTACTCTGCTCAGCCCGTTGCGAATTGAATCACCATTCCGTCTTATTTGCATTGTGGATTTTGTAATTGGGGTTTGTTAGGTGCGTAATAATAATTTTAAAGTTGAATATTTTTCAGACAAATGCCGTTTATAGCATCAATGATTAGCTTAAGTGTCGCTTCTTTTTTTCGTTTTTGTGTGCTAAAGTTGACACTTCAACCAAATTTTGTAAACACTGACCTTTTTAAAAGCCATGAAGCGAAGATATTTTCCTTAAAGGTAATAGGAGCATTTGATTATAGTATTACCCGGAAACGTACATGCACCTAGGCTATCGATTGTAAGGGAAAATCTTTGCTCAAAGTACCGGTAAATATAGGACGGTACCAAATACCCTATCAAATTATTCTGCCTGAAATTGTATCATTCAGAAGAAAACAATCATTGAAGCCGGTTTTTTACCCCTTGAGACTCTCGGCTGAGGGGTATTGTTTAATTTTTTAAAAAATTTTTTGGCGTTAGCTATGCAACCCAGTTCTTCATTTGCTCAAAATGTAAACGTTATATCCACTCACTGAGCGAAAACTTCAACTAGTTAATGTAGTTGTTGTACGCCCTTCTTAATTAAGATTTTGAGCATTTTGTTGCTTCAAACGGAAAAACATTCACAAAAGCATAGTGGTAGCTATTTTGATACATGCACAAAGTAACCGGTACTTTATGTTACTGAGAGATCCAGGCAGATTTGTAAATCTGACTTTGGGAGTTGAGCCCAATATTATTTCGAAAGAAGGTGATCATGTTTCCACCACATTAATCATCAGGTTCCCCGACAGTGTCAAGTTGAAAGTTTTTTGAAGCTTTTGCAAGTACAAGTAATGTGTCTTCTAACATGACTAAATGTATTGGGTATTGAATCACGCCTTGCCAAGAATTGAGCCCTCTGAGAATGGAAGTCAGTCCCTGAGGCATGCCACTAGTTTCAATTTCTGACGAATTGTTCCCTCTTGTCTTCGCACATTTGTTGTGCTTAGTTTCAGTTTCTGATCCGCAGAACAATGGGAAAACAATGGACAGTTTTGAAAATGTCAGATCTTTTATCAGAAGAGCCACTTTGGGAAGCATTGAAATATTTTCTGTTTTTAATCTATTATTGTGTGTGTAGACTGTTACTTCACTTCCGTTATTAAATTCTTTGGGGAAACTAAAAACATAAATGTAAGCCTTTATTTTTTTTGGGGGGGGGGGCTTAAAGTAAGTCTATTTAAGTTAGACTACTTTTCACAAATTAATTTGTGAGGAAATCTTTCATTGTTGATGGTTCAGGAAATTCCCTACAATGCACGATTCACCATTTTTTTTATAACTGTTCTCTTCCAACTTATTTTGTTTGGGATCTGTTTACTGATTGTTGGAGAACTTTTTTTACAAATTTTCCAAATGAACCAATTTCCAGATTTCATTCTTGGAAAGTTAAGATGTTATTGACTGTGTGAAGAAGATTTACAACCTTTGTGGTTTTACAAAACGTGTCCAAAGTTCTACTCCAGAGTCGGTTATGTTAGAGCTGAGTTTTCTAGGTTCCTGTTTTTTGGGCTCCAAGAAGCCCTATCGCTGAGTTCCCCTAGGACCCCCATGCTAATAGTCTGTCTAGACAGTGGGAGGCAATTAATTGCCAAGGTCAAGGTGTGTCCCCAAGCAGCAGTGTTCTCCAGTGAAGTGTAGTTCATAGCCATTCTGCTCTGGGAAAGGCCAAGGGCCAGGAAGTTCTGAAAGTCATTAAACCTGGGGTTCCCTGAAAAATAACCCCCTAAAATAGTTCCTGCTTTGGGTGTTGAGCTTTCCAAAACTTGTTAGGTGTGCAGTTGGTTCACCTCAAACGGGTCACGTTTTTGAAGGGTGTGCGTGCAGTAGAGGTAATTTCAGAATTTGTTTGTTCCTCATCTTTCTTTCTTCTAAATTGAGGGGCATCATTCATGTCAAGTTTAAGGTACCTGGCTCGCATGATGAGTCTTTTTAAAAGTGCCCAAGGATGTTACAGCAAGATTGACACATCCATTCAGGCTAGTCGTCATTGTTATTCTATTTTGTTTTTACAGCGACATTCACAAGATACCTTTAGTGTTTACATACTTGAATTTGGGTGCGTTATTCCCCCAGAATTCCTTTTCCATTTAGACCAAGTTTTTTCATTTGGGTCGTTTTCGATTTCCGATTGCAGCCGCTAGGTTTTCTCTGTACACTCCTTACTATTAAAAGAAGCAAAACATTTGAATTGCAATGCCTTGGTGTTTTCCCTGAAGTATTATCTTAGTCTAAAGTAATGTTTTTGATTGGTGTTTTTTCTCATACAAACCATTTTATTGCCTGTGTAAAGAAATCTGAATGCGAATCTGATTTCCAAGTTCAGTTGGTTGACTTTCTAGCAAGATTTTCTCGTCTAATATTTACCGGGGAGGGTTTTTAAAAAGTCAGAAATAACAATGACTTCATGATTTGTCACGTGACTCCAAGCTCATTCCCCACTTCTTCCCATTTCGCAAGTTATTTATGAATTCCAAGTCCACAAAGCTGTCATTACTCTTTCCAGAGCCCACCAGCCCCTAGATCATGTTCCTTCAAAGAACCATCAGCCAGTTTTTCTGTTATATTTTTCTTCTTCCTTATTTCTGGCTTGTTTGTCTGGTTCTGTTTTTTCTCTGGCTGGACCGTTGCTTGTACACATGTACCCAAATCCAAAGCAGGTGTTACGGATTACATTGACGCTGCTTATGAATATTCCTGCATACGTGCTGATATGTCTGGGTCTGTGCTACCAGGGGAGGGATTATGTTATGAGGGAGAGGGGGGTAGCATGTCGAAAACGGTGGTATAGCTCCCCTATGACTCGCTAAAGTGGGTCAAGCGGGGAGAGGGGGCGAAAGCAAGTGTTTCCACGACGATTTGGGAACAATTACCTTGGCGCTGTTATGGGTCCGTATGGTGTATTTCTCTCTGGATCTTCTGAATTTTAACTGTGACATTTTTGAAAATGAAAATAAAAGACTTAAAACACTTTTAAAAAGTTTTATCCAGATTTGAGCCAAAAGTAGCAGCAAGCATTTGAGCAATGGCAGCTTGTTATTTAACATTAGGTGTTGAAAAAAAAATATTATGAAAATTTTTTGCATTAAGTCTCAGTCCCCAAAGAGAAAGAAAATGGGTGACTTGAAACCGAGAGGTCCCTTCTTATGTAAACAATAAATTGAGTCTTGGACTTATCCAGTCCTAAAAAATGAAACCGAAACAATTCTTTTTTTATCCCAACAAACTTTGGTTTGGATTTTTTCAGTTACACCTATTCCATTTTCCACATGTTAAAAGTCACTGATTTTTGGAGGGAGCAGTCTGATTGACACAGTGGATGCTGAATTTATGGGGGGCACCTTCTGAGTAAAGTCCAGGAGGAAATGTTTTCATGTTCAGCAGGCTTATGTGCCTGATCCTGGGCTTGCCATGGAGAGGGAGAGGTTCCTGTCCGGCCCAAAACAGCACTAACCCTGGACTCTTGATATTGTTGGCCACCAACTGTGAATGGGATAAATTCTGTCGACTCAGAAAGTAAGAATTGCACAGGGATTGTGTAATATTGCGGGATCCTTGCACTAGGCTCCGAGACCTGACCTATCAGTAGGGGAGTCAAGCCGGGCAATGGTTATTTCCTCACCTTCAAGTTTCACTATGGCCCGGGTTCGATTCCTGCCCTGGTCCTCATGTTGATTGGGTTTCCAGTCCCT